TCCAGTGGTTTTCATTTATGTGGTTTCCAAATGGAACTCACATTTTGAAGGCTAGAGGAGGAACAGCCACTGCTGAGGTGATCTGAAAAGCAGCAGCAGGAAAAGATTTGAGCACCCCTTGGTGCTTCTCCACTCTGAATTCCCTTCTTCGAAAGTTGTTTTTCTTTAAACGAAACAAACCAAGGAATGAACACGAACATACATTTGTGTGTAATGTGTAGGTGAGGCTTCAAAGTTGTTCAGATCCATGCTTTTCTGTCTAGAGGCAGGAAGCGAAGAAAGTATCAGACTCAAGTCTGTGTCAGACTTTTCTAAAGAACTAAAATGCCTTTTATTAAGAAATCTGAGATGCGCATACATTTTTGGCAAACAGCCTGCCCACATTCGTTTCACAACCTCTTTTCCTCCAAATCCCTCTTTGACAACAGTGACTCACGCGACACAGTGGATCTTTGAGAAAAAACGTGTCCTGAGAGCTTCACCTTCACCAAACTGGAAAGAATGTGAAGGACAACTGGATAAGGTGTGAAAGTGTAAAGAAAAAAATATTTTCAGAATATATAGTCTTCTCTCCCCCCCCCCAACTGAACAGCTTTTCAGCACATACAGTATGATAATGAAAGCATCCATTGGCATTGTACACTTTCACAATCATTGTGTTATGCTGCGCATTGTGTTATGCTGCGTAGTAACTAAAACAAAACCCAAATTTGGTGACAGATAAAACCTAAAGCTATGTATATCAAAGCTTAACAATGAAGGTGTCAGGTGGATCCAGTCTGGAGTGGGAATTCCATAAACAGAGCACCATCACACAAAAATAGTCTTTTTGCCATTTGTTACCTCTCTAGTGAAGCAAAATACGAAATGCCTCAATGGAAATAGTACCTAAGGAGGACACATAAAGCCCCTTGGTTGTTCAAGGCACATGAGATACAGGCCATGAGGGCAAATGCTGCAGCTCCCACTGAAAAGCCATTTGGCAAGAGTGAGAAGGCCTCCCAGACACCCAAAGCACTGCTCCTCCATGCTGGGAACAATCTTGGGCTTATCAAGATCCCCCTTATATGAAGGAGATCTATGTAAGGTCAAATGGGTGAGTGGATGGGCGAATCTATCAATTTTGGTTTCTCAGTTTCTCATTTTTATAATTTTAAATTCAATCCACCATATTTCCACATTAGTTAGTGATTTACTTTTTTAAAGCCCTCATGAAAATCACCAGCATTTTAGCACAAATTTCACCTAATATACACATTCTTGTGTGCAATTTAGTCTAATATACTTTTTTTGCAAAGCCATTTTCTATAATATAATGCACCATTGCCTGTTATTTTCACCAACACATGCATTTTTTATGCACACCTTAGTCTAGTGTATGTACATATATATATATTAGTACACATTACTTGGTTGGCTATCTAAACTGCAAAATTCAGAGCAGTGTGAACTTTTTAAGTATTCCTGTGTTTTGGTTCACATATTGTTTTGAAAAGTGCAAATCAGGTTGGTTTGCATTTAAATGCAAACTGAATTGAATACCTCCCGTATACCTGGTAGCCAACAGGGGTATATCTGGCTGATTAGGTGCTGTGCTGCAAGATGCTGCTTCACTTGGAGGAGCCCAGCCTTCTCCAGTAACCTCCTACTGCAGAACAGGGGAGCCTCTGATTGGCTGTTCAGCACTGGGGTCCTCAGAATCCAAGGATGCTACATCCTTAGGCTGGGACATATTAATCTGGTGATTCAATCAACATCAGTGCATACCCTGCCAAACCTACATTTCCACTTGCCCAGCCACTTCCCCTGGGAAAACCCACTGCTAACTGTTTTTTTTTAAATTTTTTTATTAAAGATGTTCTTGTTTTACAGAAGTAAGTGTAATGTCTCTCATATTTTTTCCATGTAACATTTTTACAAATCCATTTCATTTGTTGAGACATTAGGGGGAGGAAGGAAAAAAAGAAGGGGTGGAGGGAGGGAAGATGGGTGGGGGTGGGGTCGGGTGGCGATGTTTCTGTTATGCTTAATGTATGTAGGGTTTGGTGTCAGCGTTGCTTGTGCTGTTCACTTGTGTTCCTTTGGTGGTGAGAGAGGTTGGGGTTGGCCTAGGGTGTGGTTGCAGAAGACGCCTTTTATGGCTCCCTTTTATCACATACACAGCCCAACAAGTCAACAACAATAATCCACCAACAGCATACAAATCAATATGGCTAACCTGATCCAAAACACCCACCTCACTCACACACGAAAACAAAGATCACCACAGCTAATCCCACTGCTTACTGTTGTATAAAAGCAAACATCAGTTGGGTTTTCCCTGGATTGATATTTGCTCCAATTTAACTCTAAATCTAAAGAGCCGGTTTTCTGGGGGAAACAGTGGGGCAAAGGCAAAACTCCTTGGACCCATGTCTAGAAAGCAGGGGACAAGTGGGAAACCTCTCGGACTCATGCTTTCTAGACATGGGACAAGTGGAAGTGTGGACACCCTATTCTCTTTTAAAATGTGATTTTTTGGGGGGGGGTATTGTCTTTATTTTGATTATATATTTTGTGATTTTATATTTTGATTTTGTTCTGTGAACTGCCCTGAGACTTCCGGGTATAGGGCGGTATATTAATAATAATAATAATAATAATCATTGGATTTCAATCAAGGTTCAATTTCTCTCAGTAGCAATTAAGTGGAACAGGGAGTAAACCTTATAGTCAGTAGTCTGTGATTAATTATTATTATTATTATTATTATTATTATTGGGTAACTGAAAGTAATTGCTTGATTTATTATTGCGTGGCCAGGCGGAGACCCCCCTGACCCCAGGCGACCCCCGTGAGGAATAATGACTCATGATGATATGTTATGGGATTAAAATTGGCCACAACTTTATTAAACCTTCAGATGTAGGGAGACCTTGGCTTAGGCATTGGGCGTTTATCCCTCCCAGTCCCAGTCCGGGAATCTGGGGAACATCAGGGTTATCCAAACTGTGTGGGGATTGGGCTGGCTCTGGAAAATGTATGTTTGAGCAGAGAGCCCGTCCCCCATTTCGCCGTAACGTAGGGGAGAGCACTGACAACCTAACAGTGACTCCCTTCCACACAACCCCTTTAACGGGGAACCCTGGGATTGCTGCTGCGGGGGGGCATAGGTCACCGCTTCATGCCCCCCCCCATTTAGGGAATATAGTTCCACCCCCTATTGTGTGTGCAGGGAGGTCCTAACCCTACCTGGTCAACTCCCCTGGCGACACCTCCCCAGCTGGGGTTGGCTAACTGTCTGAGGTTGGGCAGGAACCTCCAGGTATCCAGATTGGGGAGGCAAAGACAGGCTGCATTGCCGGAGATCGTGTAGGATCAAGGGGCTGTATGCGACCCCACAAAAAGCGCTCCCCATTGAGGTGGGGAGCAGTCGATATACACATCTTAATAAAATTAAATGATATGAAATAGAATTATGCATGATATAAAAGTTATATAGAAAATTGAATTTGTAGGAATTAATACAAAATTAGATAAAAGAGTGTTATGAGCTTGTGGGTGCTAGACCACTATAATCTCTGGACCTAACATGTGTTAGCATTTAATTAAGGCTTGGGGTGCTAAATTGTGTGCTAGACACGTAATCCCTGGAATTAGCATGGTTCAAAGCTGCTTAAACCAGGCTAGTTTCCTATGTGAGATGATAGCCTGAGCGATGGGCCATTAAGAGTACAATGGATCAAAGAGACTTGGTGTGATGATGTTTAAGGTCAGATGGAATCCAAGACTGCATGTGTGTCATGGACTGTCCGGATGCAGAGAAAGGGTGGGAGGTATCACCAGCTGGGGAGCTCCCAAAGGAACCCTCATGGGAAGGAAGCTCAGAGCCAGGGGATTGGTGGTGGGATGATGATAAGAGGTCAGAGGAAGAAGAGGAGGCAGACTGGGAGAAGAAGGTGTCAGAAACTGAAGAGGTAGCAGGGTTAGTGAGCAGGAAGAGGCTGTAGCAGAGAGCAGCCCAGAAGCAGAGGCAGAAGCTGAGCAGGATCAAGAGGCAGAGTTGGGGCAGGCTGCTGAAGAAACTCCCTAGTTTCTCTCTCCTGCTGTGACCAACTCCCCTCCCCCTGGTCTCCCAGACCACGCAGAGAAATAAAGAGGGAAGAGCAACAAGAGACAAGACAACAGAGTCTTAGGCTGATGGGGAAGGACTCGGGAGTGGAGCCTTAGAGAGCGGTGGGAAAGGGAGGACCCTCAGTCCTCACAACTGCTTCATTGGGACAAGACCTACTGGGAAGAGTTGCTGTGATCACTAGGCTATTTTGGTTTCTTTGTTTTATTGCTGGACCCATGACTCCAGCTCCTGACAATGTATTTCTGGGGCTGGCCTTGAGGTCCATTCCCTTTCTGCTCCAGAGTCCTCACCCGCATCCCCAAAGGCAAGAAAACCATGACACCAGGTGACTTCCTTATGGCCTTCAGGTTATGGAGGTTGTAACTCCCACCAACCCTGACCATTGGTCTTGTTGGCTGGGAATGATGGGAGTTAAAGTCATGTAACGTCAGGGAGCCAAAGGTTCCCCTCTCTTGTTGTAGATACTGCTGGAGCATTTTGGACTAGCAATAATCAGAATGGAGACGCCTACAGTCGTCATCTGCCTGTGGTTTGTAGGTGTCTGAATCAGCATGCCAGTCCCCAACTATAGGATCACCATCCCTACGGAATACCAGTGGCTGGAGGATCTTTATAGACAGGCCTCTTTAGCTGCAGGGGTTGTTCAGGACAATATTGGGTTGGCATCACTTACAATGGATGAGCTTAACCATCATTTCTGAGGATGCCCTGTGAATCAGTGCCTTACAGTGCAGATCCTTACATGAAGATTTCCAAGAATTTCAATGCAGAAGTGACAGCCAAGAGAAGTAAAAAGAGGAAGGGTGGGTGGTTGGTTGGTTGGTTGCATGCATTTCCTTTCCTGAGAAAAGTCCACAAAATCTTAGATGGTATTAAAGTAGCTGACAGCAGAGATTGAGACAGAGACCAACAGGGGATGGCACAAGGTGGAATCTACAGGAGGTGCGAAGAACCCGAGAACGTGGAAATCAACGAGAAAATGGAAAGCTTCTCATCAAGAAAAGCAGGTGATTACCAGCTGCAGAATGGGCTCAGGAATCATCACCACTCTGATTAAAAACCTGACTTTTGGGGGAAAGGGATTGATTTGTTGGAGATAGAGAGGAAGTGACTGCCAGCCTCTATAGCAGTGGTGGCGAACCTATGGCACGCATGCCAGAGTGGGCACTCAGAGCCCTCTCTGTGGGCACGCGCACCATCACCCCAGCAGGGTCGTTGCTGGGGGCTGGCAAAGTGGGCAGCCGCTCCCCCCCCCATGTCGCTGCAGGTGGGAAATGCTCCCTAGAGTGCCCGCCACCCGCAGCAGCGTCCGGGAGAGTTGCACACACACACCGACGCTGCTGTGAGCGGGAAACGCTCCCTAGAGTGTGTGCCACCCACAGTGGCATTGGGGGGAGTTGCATGTCCATCAACCAGCTCCCCCCCCCACACCACAATTTAAAATAGATGGGCCAAGCAGGTAAGAGGCAGATAGTTATTTATGTTGTTAGCTGTTATGAAGATGGTAAGCAGAAGGTGGATGCACACACGAAATAAAGCCAGCCAGGTACTACTAGTTCCCAAGCAAGTTCAGCCTCCCAAATCAGTATCAGTACTCTAGCCAACCAGCTCCAAAAATTTAGAATTATAGTTTTCTCTTGCAGGATAAATTATTCAGATTTTATCTTGGTTGTGGTCAGTGCTTCTCTGCAAGAAGACCATTGCAAGAAATCTGTTTTGAGAGGGGCAGTAGTTACACCTTTACTGAAGAAGCCTCCTCTCAGCTTGGTGATTTTGGGAATTACAGACCAGTTTCAAATCCAACAGTTTTGGCTAAAATGGTTGAGCGAGCAATGATTCCATCTCCATGACTTAGGGTTGACTTAGGGCTCACCTGCTTGACCCACCACTTTCCCCAGGGGGGAACCCACTGTTTACCTCTGGATCAGAGCAAAGTCAAGTGGGTTTTCTGTGGAATGATGTTTATCCTGATTTAGAGATGAATAACGGGTTGCAAAGGCAAAACCTCCTGGACCTGTGCTTTTCTTTCTCCAGGTGACCAATGTGGTCTGACGTGTACCTTCTTTCAGCTGATATTATCCTTTAATATAGGCGTAGCCAACATGGTAATATTTCTGGGTTAGCGGAGTCTGTAACCTGAAGCGTATGTAACCTGAAGCGTATGTAGCCCGAGGTACCACTGTATAAGCGTCCAAATAGCCACTTGCAAGCTGCCCATGCTGTGAGAGTGGGCATTCATGGCCTGAGAAATCCTCAGCTAAACAGGAGTGCAGTCTGTGGGGTGGCAGCAAGCCTGTGCCCCCAGGCATGGATTTCTGAGGGGGCACGAAGCAGGCGCCCCTGGCAGGTGTCTCCAGCTCAGTCTGGCCCGGTTCTTCTCTCCTGGCATTGGAGGAAGCAACACTCATGGAGAGGAGCACCCAAAATGCCATGTCAACTGGTTGAGCTCTCCCCTGCACAGGCGGGCAGGTGGTGCAGAATGGCCATGCTTGACTCCATGGAGAGGTGGGGTCACTCCAGTGGTGTCGGCAGTGAAGGTTGGGGTGCCACTGGGGGATCCTTCCATGCTCTGCCCCCGACGTGCCCACCCACCTCTGGTGCATGCACCCACTCCCTGGCATGCATGTAAATCCCTCTGGAGGGCATGCACCTGTCAAGGGCACCTGGAGCTCGTACTACGTAGCTGCAGCTAAAACAACCAGTTCTGCAAAGTGCTTTACAAACCTTAATTCTATCTTCTCCATGTTGGCCTAGTTCTCCCTGTGGTGGTAAACTTGTGCATCTTCAGACTGCAGAAGGGATTCATGTGGCCCATTTCTAGTATCCTTCTTTTAAAGGATCTGTTTGCAGGTGATGGGGAAAACAACCTCTGCCAGGACCCAGGAATGCTCCTGGGTGCTAGATGATGCTGGACTAGACCTCAAGGCTGTTTCCTGTTTTCCTCTGCCCACAGCAGTATCTTGTGATTGCAGCTGATTGGCACTTCCTTGCGCAATGGCTCACAGAGGCAGAGGCCTGGCTATTGCATGAGCCAGTCGCTGGGTGCACAGCTGGCTTCCTGCTCTTCCCTTCCCTTTGCGGTTTTGCTCCTAGAGAGAGAGTTTCATGTTGTGGGGGGAAACAGCTGCTTCCTGATTTCAACAGCTTGGGGGAAAGGGCCAGAGGACAGGCAGAAGGAAGCTCTTTGACTGGAATCAACAATATTTAGCAGGGTGCTGAGTGTGGTGCACACTGGGAATTGAAGTTTGACGAAGGTGCTGAGAATGATCTATTTTTTTAAAAAATATTTTATTAAGGATTTTCTTGTTTTACAGAAGTGTAGTGCCTCGTATTTTTTTTCCCATGTAACATTTTTACAAATCCGTTTCATTTGTTGAGGCATTAGGGGGAGAAGAAAAAAGAAAAAGAAAAAAGAAAGGGGGGGTGGAGAGAGGGAAGATGGATGGGGGGTATGTAGAGTTTGGTGTCAGCGTTGCTTGTGTTGTTCACTTGTGTTCCTTTGGTGGTGAGAGAGGTTGGACCCTTGCCCCATCCTACTCACCCCATCTTCAAACTGAAGATCTCCAGACTTTTTTTCTGGGGAGAGGGACTTTAACTGTGCATGTAGTGTATATTTAAAGCACATTCTTTCCCTCAAAGAATTCTGGGCACTGCCATTTCTTAAGGGTTGCTGGGAATTGTAACTCTGTTTGGGGGTAAACTACAGTACCCAGAATTCTTTGAGGGAAAGAATGTGCTACAGATATGATTTGAAGGTATAGTCTGTACACAGCTTCATTACAGGTATAATGTGCACACAGCCTGACAGTCTATTCATTTAAGATATTTATATGCTGCCCAATATTGTAGGTTCTCTGAGTAGTCTACTGTATCCCAAAGAGCCTGACCCCAGCGTGAGGCAGCTTCCCTTGACCTTATATTCACAGCAGCATCTTGTACTTGAAGCAAGATGGCTATTTGTGGCTCAGTGAAACCAGATGCGTATAACTGGTTTAGTACTAACTTGTGCTTTTCAAAAACCAAGAACTTATCTGCCCCCCCCCCCCGCCTCCCGGTTAGGCATGTAGAGTTAGGCCTTGTGTGCACCTGCATCTTCTGTGGCTCAGAAATACTGTTTACAAGGAAGTTAGAAGGAGCTAGGTTGAAGCGCTGCGGAAGTACAAATGAAAGAACTGTAATCCGACAGTGAAATGGTACATTTCTGTTGCTCTTGTTTCATATTTGACCAGCAGCACTGTGGGCTGTAAACATATTGCTCAAAGATTAGCGGCCATTGCCAATGTTTCCCCACCTCAGAAGTTTGAAAGAGATAATCAGTGTGAAATGGAACATAGCATAACTAAATCTGTCGGACTAAGCAGTGCCTTTTTAGAAAAGTCAGAATGCCCGTCTTCCAGAAGTGAAGTACCTTACCATAGAAGTTACTCCTGGAGAGAATTTGCTGTTTGAAAAGATGCATGAAGTGTCCCCAAGGAAAGTATTAGGACTTGTGAGGGATGGACAGGGACACCGTTGAATTTCTCACAGGACTTCCAGGAAAATATAAGGGACTTTCATTCATCATTCAGAGTGTTGGGCCACACAAAATGCAATAAACTTTGGATTCACATAAACAGCCTGTGACTGTGTGACTATTTAGGAGCATTTGCTATCACCTTGTGTTTCCAATACCTTTTGTCCTTGCCTGAATATTTTATCACTGCTTTCTCAGTCAGGTGGTGGTGCCATTTTGTCCCTTGCCTCAGGCAGCAAACTGCCTAGGACCAGCCCTGCCTAGCTCCACCCTTATGAATTTTCACTTCCTACCACTGCAAATAATTCACACGATGTGTTTTTGCTGTCCACAGGTGGTTTCCTGCTGCAACATTGCAGGTGTGGTTCAAACGAAACATCCATATCCGTCCTTTTCATTGTGACTGCTGCCTCATTTCTGCTGTGGACCATAATCTCTGCTGTTTTGATTTCAAAAAGTATGAATTCTGCAGTCAATGGCTGCTTTGTTTATGTGAAGTCTGAAAGACATGCCGGGCCGAGGGTTGGGGGGGGGGAGAGGGTTGCAGGGAGAGCACAGAGAGCAGTAGTGGGATAAACTAGAGTTTGCAACAGTGGTTCCCAAACTCTCCCCCTGGTCACAGGTCACTTGAAGATTGTCGGAGTTCTTGGTGGACCACTAGATGATTGTTCCACCTTTTGTGGCCATTGTAACACACAGTACTAGATGCTGTATGATTTTTAATTGTATTTTACTATATTACAGATTGAATTCCAGAGAATTCAAATTGTAAGTGTTCTTCACAGACATGCCACAGACCACCTGAATTAAGCATATGGACCTCAGTTGGCCTGCGGGCCACAGTTAGAAAGCCCTTGCCCGGGAGCACTTTTAAAATCGTTGAATTTATCTCCTGATTGTCAAAATATGTTTGGGTTACTATTTAGAACCAGACTCTCCCTTGAATTTTACTTTCAAAATATTCCCAAATCATGGAAACCAAACCCCTAAATTATAGTGTTTCAGTAATGCTTGTTAAAGCGAGATGAGCGCCGCAACCCCAGAGTCGTTCGCGACTGGACTTAACTGTCAGGGGTCCCTTTACCTTTAATGTTTGTTAGAACATTGTAGAAACATTGCAATTTTAAAAAATGCTTACTTTTTAAATCCTTGACTGAAAACTGATGATCAGTTTGATGTAAGGGAAAGCTGCTTATGCACTGATATGCCCAAAACATCCTGAAGCATGCATAGGAGATATTGCTCTTCAGAGGTCCAGGAAGCAGGACTTTTATAAGGCAAAGTGTTGCTTCATTGATGAACCTGATAACCTCCTAATGTAACTGAGGTGTGGTGAATGAACTCTCTCTTTTGTTTATGACAAGGATGAGGAGTTTCAAGTTGGCTGAGCTTCCCCACCGAGCCCACTGACCTCTCCCCAGCACCATGAAAAAACCACACACCAGAAACAGAGATGACTTTAAACTGGTGCTAGAAACCAGAAGTTTATTATGCTATCAAATACGCTGAATATTCCTATCATCAGGGCTGGCCCGCCCGTAAGGCAGACTGAAGCAAACACCTCAAGCAGCAGAAACTTGCAGGGTGGCGCTGTGAGGGTGCCCTGCCCACACCTGCTGCCACCAGGGTAGTGTGGTGGCAGCTTCTGGTAAGATCTCGCCAGAAAACTGGCTTGTTCCTGAAGAAGACAATCAGTTGGAATGTGCTCAGTATACTCCACTCTACAATATATGTCTCTTTACTAGCACTAGTTGGGAGCAATCTCTTTTTAAAATAAAAAGAGAAGAAAAGTCCCCAAACAGTGTGGTCTTTCCTATCTTCTCCAGGAAACAGCCACCTATTGTTGTCAAATGGTAATGCTGGCTGTGCCTAAGTGAAGATAAAGACTGCTCTTTCTATAAACTCCTTAGGTTCAATGACAGTGACCAGACCTTTGTATTGTTTCAGGTTTGGAGATGTCCACGCAACTAGAACAGCTGCGTGCCAATCAGTCCATGCTGCTAACAAATGGTAACCATTCAGTTTTGCTTTTTCAAATGGTTAATTGCTTCTGTCTCATTCCTACCCCTATATCTAGGAGTCAGCTTTTAAAGAGGGGCCTTTAATAATATGTACGTACAGTTGGCTCTCTAGCCATCCTGATAAAGACTTTCAGGATGGAATGGCTGAAGGAGAGGAAATAGGTAAAAAGGAGTTCTAAAATTCAGGGTTACACAGCATTCAGTCCTATTCAGACCCATGGAGACCAGAGGATATAAGTGAGTCATGCCCATTAATTTCAGAGGGTCTACTTTGAGTAGAATTCACATTGGATACAACCCACAATTATTACAGTGGTGCCTCGCAAGACGAAATTAATTCGTTCCGCAAGTTTTTTCTTCTTGCGAGTTTTTCGTCTTGCGATGCACGGTTTCCCATAGGAATGCATTGAAAATCAATTAATGCGTTCCTAGGGAAACCGACTTCAGACCAGGTCCGGGGACAGTCTGTCCCCCGACCTCTTCTGAAGGCTGGGGGGGACGACAAGGGCTTTTCTTCCCACCCACCCCAGCATTTTAAAAAGCCCCGGACAGCGGAGGGCTTCTCCGCTGTCCGGGCGATCTTAAAATGCTGGCGGGCGGCATTTTAAAATTGCCCGGGACAGCGGAGGACTTCTCCGCTGTCCGGGGCAATTAAAGCCCCTGGGAAGGCAGGCAGGGGGACAAAGACTTTGCCCCCGCCAGCCTTCAGAAGAGGTCCTGGACCTCTTCTGAAGGTTGGCGGGGCGAAAGTCTTGTCCCCCACCTGCCTTCAAAAGCTGTCCAGCCAAGGCTTCGCGGACCTCTCCGCAAGCAGCGGCAGCACTGCCGCTGCTTGCGGAGAGTTGCCGGCATGCCGAAGCCTGCGCGCGCTGAGATCAGCGCGCCCAGGCTTCGCGGACCTCTCCGCGAGCAGCGGCAGCGCTGCCGCTGCTTGCGGAGAGTTGCCGGCATGCCGAGCCTGCGCGCGCTGAGATCAGCGCGCCCAGGCTTCAGCGGACCTCTCCGCGAGCAGCGGCAGCGCTGCCGCTGCTTGCGGAGAGTTGCCGGCATGCCGAAGCCTGCGCGCGCTGAGATCAGCGCGCCCAGGCTTCGCGGACCTCTCCTGCCTTCAAATGCCGTCCGGGATAGCGGGACGCGCTGCCCGGCTATCCCGGACTGCTTTTAAAATGCGGGCGGTGGGGAGCAAAGCCTTTCGGCCCCCGCCAGCCTTCCTGGACCTCTTCTGACGGCCGGTGGGGGGGGGAAGGCTTTGCTCCCCACCGCTAGCATTTAAAAGAGGTCCCCGGAGATTTGCCTATGGGCTTTCGTCTTGCGAGGCAAGCACATAGGAAATTCGTTTTGCGAAGCGCCTCCAAAACGGAAAACCCTTTCGTCTAGCGGGTTTTCCGTCTTGCGAGGCGTTCGTCTTGCGGGGCACCACTGTACTTTAGTTCCTCTGTATTTGAAGCCTAAGGTTTTACTTTCTACAGTTATGGTTTTTCAGAACATCCCCATAGCCCACTTCATTCTTTAATTAATTCAGTCTGTCACTAATGAAGTAGAACTTGACAAACTCCCAATACAAAATTGTATTGGGCGGGGTAGGAAGAGATAGCAGTAAAAATGTTATCCACAATAAAAAGTTATAACCCTTTCTGTGAGGGGAGGACTATATTAATGTGCATTTGTGTGTGGGGGGGGTGCTGTCTTAAAAAGGAATTTCTAAGTGGAGCAACAAAACTTTTTCTAAGCTAAGCCCTTCTGGACATCTCAGTGGGCACATTCATGCATGCAGGCTCATCACACCCAAACTGCAACATCAAGTGGCAACTTGCTTGTGTGAAACAAATAATCTAGGAAACATCAGAGGTGGAGTTTTAATGCAATTGCCCTTCACTTCAAACACAATGCCTCTGTCAATGGAGGCAGTTAGTATGTTCATCTGCAACCAGTCACTGAGCGATGCACATGCACCTGTGTGAATCAGCCGGAACGGGAGCAGTTTTAGTACTTCCAGTCCTTGCACTCCATCTAAAGCCTGCAGAGTGCTTCATACCTTATGGTCTTTGCTAGTTGACTTCATTGACAAAAGAGTGCATTGGCATAAGAGCAGTGTACCATGGTCATGCAAGGTACTAGGAACTCATAATGCACAGAGGAGGCAAGTTAGTTAGGCCTTCTGCGCTACTCTGCCCACCTTGAACTGAGGTAGTCTGGATCTCCTAAGAATGTATTACTAGAGAAGCAGATCTCTTTTACTCTCTGATCCTTTTGACAAATCGAAACTTCTCACCTCTTCAAAAAAACTGCATGTTCCTCTTATGTACCTCCTGATACCCCAGAAGAACTGTTCAACTCAGAAGCATGGCCATGTTGCTCAACACATAGAAACTGAATGAGTGCCTCCTGAGTAACTGAATTCTGTCTTTTCTAGGCTCCAAGATGGAGAAACGGCTAGAGGAGATTCATTCTAGTCACTCTTCATCTGGTATGTATTGACTTGGCTGTCACCCGTGCTGGTGTTCCTATTTTCTCCCTCACTTCTCGACAATCTCTAGTTGCTACTGACTTTCCTTCCTCCAATCCTGACTAAGTACTGTTACGGATGTCAGGTGACCATCCTTCATTAGACTGATTGCTTGATAGTTAGAGATGATTGGTGAAATTTCCTGAAGGGCATGGTATAAATCCCTAACATAACTCATAAAAATATTTTTCTCAGCAGAAGCTAATGCTACCTTAATATGTGTTTCTTAAGTTTGATAGTTTTGCTGCCTGGGAAATTCACCTGTATGGTGGGATCTGAAATCAGGATTCTGCAGGGATGTATGTTGGAGAGAGTTGCTGACCTTGTTGAGTTTGGGACAGACAGAGGCATTGATGCTGTTGTTTTGGGTGACCTGAAGAAGGGACAATGGTTGTGCTGCCTGCTTCAGCAGTTGATTTTCTTCCACTAGGCTCTTTTCATATATTTGTAATATCAGTTCTGCTTACAAAGATACAGTAATTTCCCAATATTTTCTTATGTGATTGCACTCAGTTCTATGGTACTACCATAGGACTTCTTTCTCAGCGAAGTGTAGAGAACTTAACAGTACCCTTTTGCCAAATGCAGAGATTGGAAAGTAGCTGTTATCTGTGGCTTTCTTTTAGAATCTGAGCTAAGTAAGGCCCTGAAGGCACTGGAAACTAAATATGAGGAGTCACAGAAGAATGGTAAGTATTCTTTGTTTCTGCTGGGAAAAGAAGGGAATGGGCAGAACTGTCTTCAGGCAGGGATATAAGAAGGCAACATTTTCGATTCCATGCTGTATTCCTTGCACACAGCACTGCTTCTGTTCCACTGCAGTTCATTTTCTGCCAAAAGCTATATTACCGTACTTGTCTCGATGTCCACTAGGCAACATTATGTACTTTTAATAATTTAAGTAATCATGTAAATTATGTAAGTGACATTAAAGGTAAAGGTAAAGGGACCCCTGACCATTAGGTCCAGTCGTGACCGACTCTGGGGTTACAGCACTCATCTCGCTTTACTGGCCGAGGGAGCTGGCGTACAGCTTCCGGGTCATGTGGCCAGCATGACTAAGCCGCTTCTGGCGAACCAGAGCAGCGTACATAAACGCCATTTTCCTTCCCGCCAGAGCGGTACCTATTTATCTACTTGCACTTTGACGTGCTTTCAAACTGCTAGGTTGGCAGGAGCTGGAACCAAGCAACGGGAGCTCACCCCATCGCGGGTATTCGAACCGCCGACCTTCTGATCGTCAAGTCCTAGGCTCTGTGGTTTAACCCACAGCGCCACCCACGTCCCTATAAGTGACATTACCATTGCATTATTCCACACTATTATTTTTAGTGTAAAGTAAACACAATGCAAATGCAGGAGGCTGGGTGTAATCATTTACATATTGTCTGCAGACTGAAAGAAACAACAAGAGTGCCAGTTGTATTTGCTGGATTGGTATCCATTCTGGACATGGGATGAATAAGTAAATATTGGCAATTTCTGCTCTTATTTCTTTTATCATCAGAATTCTCTGACATCCCTACCCTTAGGGAATCTCAAAAGCAGGAGTTCTTACAGAGTTTGAATTTCTCCTACTTAAATTTATGGTGTGTTCCCTGTGTCAAGTCAGTAACCTGAGCTCTACTTGCCATACTTCTCAATGATCATTCTTTCTGAATGACTGTTTCTGCAACTTTTCCTTTTCCAGACCAAATTCACCTCTCATTTAACTCCCCTTTCTAATCTTTTCCCCCTAGGGAATGAAAAGCTGCGTGAACTATCTAGAGAGAGCAGCCGTTCCTTGGCTGAAATTGATAAGATAGAGGATGCACTACTGAAGATTAATGGTAAGACACGAGACTTCTTCTGCCCCTGAGCTAATGTAAGTCAGGGAGGCAAACGGGGCAGACTGCTGTGGGCTGGACAGAGCAACACTGCGGAGATGCCCAATCTGCAGCCTAATAAAGGCAGTGGAGGTGAAGGAGCAACAGGTGGTCCCACGGTGGGCAAGTGAGGAGAGATGTGAGAAAAACTGAAACACAGCCAGAAGGGAGTCTAAAGCAGGGTGGAGCCAGAAAGAAACACTGATAGAAGGGGAAGAGGGGAAGAATCAAGGCAAAGACGTGAACGTGACTGCAGGCAACAGGAGGATAGAGGGAGAGGCTGTGTACACACCACACATGTAAACCACTTGACATCTCCCAAAGAATTCTGGGAACTGTCATATGATAAGGGTGCTGGGAATAGTAGCTCTGCGAGGTGTAAGCTACAGTTCTCAGGATTATTTGAGGGACATTATGTGCTTTGAATGTATGGTGTGTACACAGCCAGAGGTAAGAAAGCGGACATAGAGACTGAGAAAGAAAGCAAGAAGAGCAAGGAGGGCACTGAGACAGAGAAAAGCAGCGCAACAGAAGGGAATGTGCAAGATGGCCACATAGGAAAAACTAGTGGCTTAGGGAGATAATAGATCCCTGGGAGCTGGTGGAAGGACTTCCAATGTCTTATTCCTTCAGATACAGTGCTCACTCCTATGCTGTGGAAAACCAGGGACAGAAAGATCATATTGGCCTTGGGACCCATATGATGTGATGATACCGTACTTTTCGCTCTATAACACGCTCCCAACCATAACACGCACGTAGTTTTTAGAGGAGGAAAACAAGAAAAAAAATATTCTAAACGAAACAGTGGATGTATGATTTTTGTGGTTCATGCTGTGGCCACAGACATGTGATCTGACGGTGAGTTTGGGGTAGCCCAATGTAAAAATCCTGAGGATCCATGTGGATCCATGTTTGTAACCACGTTTTTGCACCACTGCGGCCCCAGGCAACGTGATTTTTTTGGTGCAAACTGTAGCCATGGACATGCTATGTGATCTGATGGTGAATTTGGGGTGACCCAGTGCAAAAATCCTGAGGATCCATGTGGATCTGTGCTTTGTAACCACGTTTTAAGTGGGGAGGGAAGGAAAAGCACTCAAGGGACAAGGAGCACGCGTGGGGTGGGTGGAGAAGGATGCTGCTAATAATGCAGAAGAGGGGTATAAGGGGAGAAGGCTCCTCTCCTCTCCCGCTTTGCTCCTTTAAAGCAAGCAGGCTCTGCTTCTCTCCCTCCTCCCCCCCCCCGGCTTAGCGAGCTGAAAATCTTTCCTGCTATTTAGCGAGCTGAGTGGGGAAGAGAGAGGGACAGAGAGCCTGCTTGCTTTAAAGGAGCCAACCGGACAGAAGCTGCTTACACTCATGTAAGCGGCTCCTCTCCTCTCCCGCTTTGCTCCTTTAAAGAAGCAGGCTCTCTGTCCCTCTCTCCTCCTCACTCAGTGGCTCTTCTCCCGCTTTGCTGTTTCAAAGCGAGCCACGGAGGAGGGAAGGAAGGGGAACCATGGATCCTCTGCTCACAACTGCAGCAGATCCCGCCCCCCCGCCATCCGTAGGCATTCGCTCCGTAACACGCACAGACATTTCCCCTTACTTTCTAGGAGGAAAAAAGTGTGTGTTATGGAGCGAAAAGTACGGTAATTAGTGAGGGACAAAGTGACCCTGTTGTGATTCAGAATTGGGCATGACCCATCCTCTGATTGGTCGTAACACAAATTAATGTGGTGGATACAAATTAACATGTCAGATTCTTTCAAGGTGATTGGTTGTTCCATAGTTTTGTATCCAAACTTAAATGGATAGGTTCCTTTGGCAAAGCATTACAGAGTTATTATAGTAAAAGTATTCTGAGCATATGCAGACAAATTAATTTTTCTTTTCTTTGAGTAATTAAAGGAAGCATCATCTGAGCATGTTTTAACCACATAAGCTGCAAAGGTGCAGAAAAGAGAAAAGGACTGATAATAAATCTCAATTTTAATTGCAAACAGTTCTACGATTTTGATGGATCAGAGTTAGGAAGGATGTAGTATGGACTGTGTGATTACAATTTTTGGCAGCACTGCTAATAATGAACATAAACATCTGTAGAAGGGTGTTCTGTTTGTGATCTGGTTGTTTTAATGTCTCTGCTATTACATTATAGCTTCAACCTGCCAAGTTTGTCCAAAGGGCTGGTTGTTGAACAAAGGATCATGCTACAGTTTTCAAGTAAAGACTGGACCATGGTCTCATGCCAGGAAAGCGTGTGAGGATGAACATGCCCTTTTGGTTATTATCAATGATGAGGAAGAGCAGGTAATTCAAGGTTTTTGTGAAATTGTGACAGCCCCATCCTAGCCACCCTCTGGGTCCCTGGGCATCTGAGGAGGAGGAGACCAGGCCACAACAGTGTGTACTCTTTTGCTGGCACCCATCCTTCCAAGGTTTGCGGTACTTGAGTATCTGTTTGCAAGGCTGCCCCTTACCAAATAGCCTCCAAAAGTTCCCTGGGGTCTCTCTGAAGCCTCTTTATATAGAGGGAGGTTAATGCATTTAGGTGTCAGGGTGTTTACATTAAGTTGAGACCACAATGTTTAAGAAGTGTATCTGCTGGCCAGTGTTTGAGAAAGAGGGTGGGTTTTTCTTATACAATAGCAATCTCCAAATGCTGTGCTTTTATTTTCCCCATATACGAAAATGGCAACTCGGGGATGCTGAGGGAGGCTAAACCTACCCACCTACTTCTGGTGAGCCCTATGCTTAGGGTGAGTGATAGATTTTGCCAATCTCAGCTATATCCCAGATGTCATTGAATAAATGTAAGTAAAGAGTAGGATGGAACACTCAGAACTGGCTTTTACATACACACAAGTAGGACTCACAACAAAATGTTGCGGTATGTCCTTGCCTCTTCACAGGGTGCTGCTCTTCAGACAGCCATCCAGCCATGCCTTCCACTGGGATACTGTAAGCTTTTAAAGGCTCAGGCAGGCCAACTCACTATCCCGCTCACCAACTTTGAATTTTTCTTTCCCAGCTGGCACCCAACTTGCTGTGATTCTGGTGCTTGAACGTCACTGGGCTTGTTGTTGTTGTTGTTGTTTTGTGGGAGGATTTGCCCTCTTTTGGTGTTTCTTTAAACATTTATGTTGCAGTGATTCATTAAGATTTCAAGGAGAGGTAGTTCCCAGCACTGTTAGTTACACAATATCTTTAAGCTTTTTAAATGAGGCATTGAACATGGGCCTTTGTACCTGTAAAGCTTGTGTTTGATACAGAGGCGTGTAGTCAGTCATGTTTCTGGCAGTGTGAGCTTGATGTTGCATCTCAGCCTTACATTTTGAGAGAACACTGTGTTGCTAGTTGTGGTAGGATGTATATTCCATATTGTACATTTCAACTCCGAGAATTAAATGTGGTTTGTGTTTCAGAGTTTTCTCGGATTACACCTAAAACAAAAATACTACTGGATTGGTCTCCAAGACATTGAAACAGAAAACAAATTTACCTGGGTGGATGGAAGTACTGCAACTTATACGTAAGTCTAGCATCAACTTTATTCCATTTTTAAACCCAACCTGGGTGGAATCTACACACATATAAAAACCATTCTGAAAATGCTTTTTAAATTTTTTCCCATAAGGCTCACCATCTCCATTTAGTGTCACATTGTATATTGCACTTAAAATACACTTAAAACATTTTATTTGCAGCTGTATAGCTGAGTTCTAGCTACTTCTGTGCCTATGGGTGAAGGAGTTTGCTGACAGGCTGCTTTTGGAAGGTGGACACATTGACATCCCATTGAAAGACCCTGTGTGGGTCTCGCAGCTGGGAGTCAGGGTCAGAAATTCAGCTAGCAAGGCTACACTGGTTTTCATTAAAAACTCATCAAAGACTAACTGGGACCAGTAAGAGGCTAGCATAAAGTCTCCAAACACAAGATGACACATTTCTTCTCTTCTTTGATCCAAGGGGGTTTGGTCATTCACTGCTGGGCATCAGGGAGGGTTCGCTAAGGTCTAAGAATCTATCTCACTAGAACTGATCAACTCTGCCATTTGTTTATTTGTTATATTTCCATATGCAGCAAGTGGAGTGCAGGGGAGCCGAACAATTATGGCCACGGGGAGGACTGTGTTGAGATGACACCTAGAGGCTGGTGGAATGATGTTTCATGTGGCAACGACATAGATGGCTGGATCTGTGAAAAGCCATGGAGCTGCTAGCTGTGTGGCCAGCAGGAAGAGAACTCGACATGAGCCAATCATCATGACTCCCTCGCTCTGCTCTTCATTCTCACAGACCTTCCAACAGTCACTTCTGGCTAGTGGGTGGGCGTAGCAATCGCCAGTACCAGTTCATTAAAACTGAGGTGATGAAATCCAGCCAGTATTACATCAGTGAGTCAGCAGAAAGCTAGGACTCGCCATACGATTTTTAGCTCTTGTCCATAACCCACTAGAACTCACTGTCTTCCCTGGGAATAAAAGCCGGGAAAATAGCTGGGGATAAAAGCCAGAGTTCTTGTCTTCCATCCTAGCCCCTCTTCCTTCTATAATAACATGCTAGATTAACCTAGTTCTCACATTCACAAATTCAAAACCTAATGAAACATTCATTGAAAAGCCCAATAATTTAGCAAGTTCTCCCCCCCCCCCAGCATATGAAAAGGAGAGGATGATATTTGAGACAGGGCCTTCTTGGGAGTGGCATTTCCAGGCATGAGCCAGGGGGTGGGGGATGGGGGACAGCTGCCCCCTCTAGATCAAATAAAACAATAGAAATACTTAACTAACTGACCAATCACATTGGTTCTTCCCTACACTAACAAAAGTCCTGACCCCCTAACAAAAATCCTGGCTACGCCCATGCCTCCAGAGAGGTCTATTTGATCCCTACATTTTTATTATTTCATTGCTAGCAGATCTTTTTCTCTATTTTCCTAGGTTTTAAAATCTGAATTCCCTCATGAAGCTCTTATGATGCTCTTCTAAGATTTCAGATCCTTTTGCTTTTTTTTTTAAACTCTATCTTCTGGGTTGTTGCCACACTAGCCCTTAATTTTAATTTTTACAATAAAATACAAGGTGTGGACATGAAAATTTATTTAAGGTATTACAAGGCATCTGCGTCTTTAAACACTTTTAATTTGCACACTAGTCCCTTTTTATTGCCTTCTGTTGATGCCAACTACTAGGTTAACGAAGAATAGCTTGTTAACTGCCCCTTGAGTAATCTCTCTCTTCATGTCAGTTTCTGTTCCTGCAAGAGGAAAGATCCCTTTAATTATTGGATCTTTCTCTTGTTTTGTTCTTCGTTTGTTTGCTTTTCTCTTTAAAATAGTGAAATGGTACTACAATAAACTACTTTCATGTTTTTCTGACTTTAACCCATGGCTGCCACCAAGAAAAGAAAGCCAGTGTTTTAAAATTTAGGCTACCTTCTCTAGGCAATGTCCTCCATGGCTGCTGTTGCCATGAAGAGAAAGAAGCCTACATGTTAAAAACAAAAAACGAAACAAAAAATGAAACAGAACAAAACAAAAAACAAACTGCAGTTTTCCTTCTCAGTGAGGCATAAAAGGAGGTGAGGTTGTCAGACTGCCGGGGGTGACAAGCAGTGCAAGAAGGGCCATAGCTCCTCATCCATCCATCTATCCATCTATCCATCCATCCATCCATCCATCCATCCATCCATCTCTATGTGTGCAAAACTTAGTATTTAAAGCTCCTCATTCCATGGGAACAGAAACTGACATTACAGTAAACAGGAGAGCCTATAGGAGCAAATAGAAGGCTATTTGTAATTCTCCCACCAGGATTGCTAGAAAATAATAAAATGCAGTGGATTTGTAATAAATAATCCTCCAGTTGATGTTGCCACTAGCCTTTGCAAAATGGGTTTTAACTTATGTATAATAGTAGATGAGGATCTTTGTAATTCTCTATTCTTTCATTTGCTGTGGATTGTGGGAAAGCAAGGTTCAGGAGCACTCAAGTGCGCAAGTGTTCTTCGGCAGTTATGAAATCTCCTTTGATGCTTCACCAAACTCAAATCTGAGGCTTTCTTAGAGGAAACTAAGTTCCTTCTTTTTCAGCTGGCATTTGGTTTCTGTGGTTGGACCACAAAGAGGTCTAATGTTGCTCAACTGTTTGTACAAATGGTCCTGTATAAAATAAAATAAAAAGTGACTGTGTTTACATGCTTTGAATCTCTAAGACAGAGTTTGCTATAAATTCAAATAAAAAATCAAAATAAAGAACTGTCATGGGTAATGTTGCACAGGTGGGACAGGCAGCGGCCATTTTATGCATTTGATTGGCGCATGGCAGGTCATTTTAGACCTGGAAAATGGGGGAATGGGGGGGAGAGAATGGGGTAGACCAGGGCAGGCCTATGTGCGGGGCCCAGGGACACAACCCTCGTGCAAATCAGGAGGGTGTTTGTGCCTGTATATCCTCAATTCAAATGCACATTTGAGGCCCTTCTTGGGCTTTAATTTCAATGATGTTCAATGGGTGTCCAATGAGTGTTTTGCTGAACCGAAACTGCAGCATGGAGGGTCAAGGTGACAGCTGTTGGCAGATGGACATAGGAAATGACAAAGCCATGCTCAGCAAGGGGCAGTTCTGTTTGAATATAGTTTGGGCAATCGGCTATGACTGTTATCCTAAATCGTGGTTTTTAAAATCTACAAGAGCCCCCATTTGTGCTGTTCCACAATACGCCCACATCTTATGATTGCCTCATTTCTGCTTCACCTGGCTTTCCTCTCCTCTGAGAGGCAAACTGGAACTCCTGACCACTTTTCCTTTTGTGTGTATTTGTGTGTAGGGTGAAGAAAGTTTGTTATCTCTCTGGCCCTCTACTGATTGCCCATTCATTGGAAAACTGTAGGTGCACTGTAGGTAACTCACAGTAGATTTGGGATCATGTGGAATTGGGACTAGGAGTGTTGGAGAATTCTAACAAAAATGAAAACAGGAACAGAAATTGCTGATGTTCACTTATGGATCCCATTCTGGAATGGAAGTCAATCCAGGGAATACAATTGGCATTTGCTGTTGTTGTTTTCAGTCTACAAATGATATGGAGTATGCTTTTTCCTCCGTTTCCATTGTGTTTCCTCTGCATTGAAATGAATGAGGTGGAATAATGTAATTTCACCACAGTGGACGGTGAAATGAATAACATAGTTTTGGGTGGAAGGTGAACTGCAGTGAAACGGAACCAGTGATGCATGTGATGAATTCAGGGCAGGATGGAAAACAGTGCCTGCTTACATCCCTAACTGGGGCTGGGGCAAAGAGTTAACAACCCCTCTCCCATCTCCACATATTTCCCTACATCTCATCTAGTTTGGTCACCATGTACATCCAGATATACTGGATGTTTGCGTGGTGAGTTCCTGCCTCCCCCCAATGGAAATAAAGACACGTGACAACATTGAATTAGGTTAATGGGCTAAAATTGGCCACAACTTTATTGGTTACAGGTAAGAGCGGTATTGGCTTAGGCATTGGTCCTATCAGACTATCCAGCTTCAGCCTGTTTGCATTAACCGGGAAGGGTTAACACCAGCAGGGGGAGCGCTGCTGATGCACATCAACTAGGTACTCCCCCGGGGTCACGGCTCGGGGGCACGCTTTAGGCCCTGACCTCCATAGCCTTCGGAGGAGGCAATGCCCCCCAGAATCCTTTACCGGACTACCCTTCAGTAAATGAGGGAGGTGATGGCGCTCCCTCCCCCCATCTGCATAACAATACCGCTACCAATGCCTAACCGCCAAAACCAAAGGAGTTGTGACGATTTGCTACGAGGTAGGCAAAAAACCAAATGGCTGGTGCCAATTTGCCAAGTGGAAAAAATTCCTACCAGGCCCCTTAACAGCGACCAGCCGTTAAAAGAGGGAGATCCAGGGGCCGCGCTTGCCTTAAGTGAGGCAAACCACACACCCCGAGCCAGACGATTGGCTGGCTCGGGGGATGACGCGGCCCGAGGATTCCCCTGATCGTGCTGGGGCTGGAAACAGCCTCCGCGCGCAAGATTGGGGGCATGAAGCTGGCAACCCCACCTCCTCCTTATGTCGGAAGTGGCTTTGTCCAAAAGGGGAATGGGAAGCCTTGAGTCGGGATTGTGAAGAAATCAGGTTTGGCATTTGCTAAAGCAAACTAGCAAACAAAATTGATAAGGTGCTGCAGTTTGGCGGTTCTTGACTTGTGGCTTAACAAGCTATGCTGGAAGCTATTCAAAAAAGTTGGGCAGAAATAATAATGTGCAGTTAGGAAAGTTGCAAACAAGCCACCACAAGGGTATTTTGCCTCTTTGAGGATCATTTGCTTGTTACAGAACCCCTTGGGTGTGAATCCCTGGGGTGTCATTAAAAAAAACTAGATCCAAACAAACATTCCCAGCAGACAAAATCCCACAGTTCCCTGTGTTGATGACACAATGAGCTCCCTTAACAGTGAGCAAAGTGTAAAGCAGAGACAAGGCAGTGGGACAGTATGCTGTATACACAGAAGGGCCTAAGAGAAACCTCAAACCAATGAGAAATCCCTACACGCCACAACTATTCCCCATTCACTAAACTCAGTGCACAGCTTGCTTGGCAGAACTCTTTCTTCTTCTTCAGTAATAATACTACTGTACTAATAATAATTTATTTCTTATCTTCCCTCACCCTAAGGTCCCAGGGTGGGTCACAGCACTTAAAACAAAATGTTAAAAACAGTTTAAAACAAATCACAATCCGACTTCCGGGTTAGCACCTCTAGCAATGGCGGATTTCCTCTGATCGGGAGGAATCCGCTTCGTGAGAATTAGGGTCTGGACCACCGCGGCGAGGCTGAGGCCCTTTAAAAACCACAGGCGGGAGAAGCCTGTGGACGTGGGATTCGGCTGGCACCTTTCGCGCCTCCCCTACTCACGGGGAAACCCGGTTTCGGGGATCCGGAGTGACGTGGGGTGAATGGCACGGTGCTACGAATCGACTGCTTTTTTCACGGAGTGAAGCCACATTGCTGTTGCCGGAGAGCGCTGACTTTTTCCTGTGGACAATTGGATTTTAAACAACTGCTTGTGAGTAGAAGGGAAAATTGGACTATGAAATTTCTTAATTTGGCACCGAAGCAGGAAGGTCTAAACAGGAAGTCCGCCTTCCGCTTTTGTAAATAGATTGACGCAAAGACATTGCAAGCTAGAGTCTGGAAAGTCGTCTGTAAAGGATTAAATTTCCATCATTTAAAATTACTAAACCCCCTTGGAAGCAGGAGAAGAGGGGGGAATCTTTTTAGACTGTTTAAACCTGCAGAAGAGAGAGTAAAGAAAGATAAATTTCCACCGTCTTGAACCTGGGAGCGGGGTGTCAGGACGGACGCTTTGGGGAAGTTCATTGACTGTGGACAAACGTTTTTGACAGATAGTTAAAAAAGAGAAACATATTGATTCCAATGTTCCCTCTTGCATTTAAAAGAAACAAAATATCTGAAAAAGGAAAGGAACTTTGTTGCTAGATCTGCTTTTAAAAAGACGGATACAAATAGAAATTGTTTCCCTAGAGGAGCTTGTGAAACTGTTATTAGAGTCGATCTGGGGAGCTTTGCAGCTGTAGAGATTAAAGATCGTGGGACCAGACTTTGACCTTGAACAAGAATGTGCCTAGAACAAGCGTTAGTGCTTGCTCTTTGCAAGACAAGTGCTTTACTGGAACAGTTACATGAGAAGATGGATTTGATGACTGTTGCAGTCGGAAATTTTGGACAAACAGTGAATACCTATATAGAACCCACTCAGGAATTAATCCAGGAATGTGCTTTGACAGATCAAGTGGTGAAGAAGATAAAGGAGGAGGTTGTTCCTGAACCTCAAGTAGCAGAAATGGAGAGAGCTGCGGCCCTGCAGGAACATAAGTTGTTGGGTCTGACGAATGAATCTGGAGAAAGCCAGATTTGGAGAGATGGAGTTTTGTTTGGCTTGGAGATGGGAAGCTGGATAGATCCCCCTATGCAGGGATGTTTTGACCTTTCGAATTTGGCTTTGGGCCAGGGGGAGTTGGGAGTTGTGGGGGCCCTTAACTTTGGAGGGACTTTGAAACATGCCTCTAAATATCATATGGATTTCAGTGTCGACTATGGAGAATGGGCTGACTTGTCGAGAAGGGACAAAGATATTGTCAAGTTGGAGTCTCCCCGAGAGAAAGGAAGGAAATTAAGAATAAGATCAGCAGAAGACAAAGTAAAGTACAGGTACAAACATGAAGAAGACCTGCGGAAGGGACATGGAAAAGACTTAAGAGCCTCGGATAGAAGGTCACCAGGTTGATGGACTAGATGGATGGGATAGAAAGGACTGACAAAACCCGAGACCAGGAAGAAGAGACGATGGATGAAGATTGGAAGAAAGTTTTAAAAATTTATTTAGAAAATTATCGTAAAATTAATGAGTACTAGAAAAATGTTGGAATGAAATTATTTGGCTTTAGTAGAAATGTTAAAAAGAATTATGTAAGAATATGTTATGCTTAAAAGAATTAGGTATAAATAAGATTTAAGTTTTAAGCTTTAGGGTTTTTTATGGTAAGATAAGGTTAAAATAGATTAAGGTAATTTAAGGACAGAATATTGTGAAAGATGGAAAGGGTTTGCTGAGATAATTAATAACTAGAATACAAAAAAGGGAGTTGTGAGGAGGTCAATGAAATAAGTTAATGGAAAATAAGGATTTGCGAATATTGGATTTGTTTATTTTTTGTTTATTTTTGTTATTCGATTTTGATGTATTGTGTGTTTTGTTTTGTTTTCTTTGACTTTGGTTTTGATTGACTTGTATTGTTCAATTGTTATTTTTGTCTACCTTTTTCTTTTTCTCTTGTTTTTTTCTTTCTTTCTCTGTAATTTTAAATTCTCAATAAATATCATTTAAAAAAAAACAAAAAAACAAATCACAATCCAGGCCCCTTCTACTGATCTTAAGACCCAATAAAGGGTGTAGAGAAGGAGATGGCCTTTTAGACATTTGGGGGCTAAGCTGTTTAGCGCTTTAAACTCTAAAGGCAAAAGCAACAGAAGAAAAACTTATTTCAATGGGAGTTAAAATAGATGAAAATGTGAAAATAGCAGCTGAGTTATCAATCCAGGTCAACAATTTAGTACAAAAAAATTCAGATCTGATGAAAATAGTGCTAGACCTTAAAGGTAAAACACAGAACCTAGAGGAAGCTCAGAAAAAATTACAAAA